AGGGCACGTACCTCGGTTGCAGTTTGTCCCCGGCCCTGGTCGGTCGTGCGGGTGGCAGCCACTCGATGTGTCCCTTTCACATCAATGTTTCTCTCTCTCTCTCTCTTCCTCTCTCTCCCTCCCACTCTACCTGAACAAAAAAATGGGAAAATGTCCTCGGGTGAGGATAAAAAATAAAAAAATAAAAAAAGAAGGAAGAATTGGGCATTTTTCCTTCCTCGCCTGTTTTAGTTATATTCAAAGATAACTGAATAGCTCTAATTGACAAGGGGAAATTCTTTTCCACAAAAGAATTTCATCTAATAAGTGTGGCAGGAATTTTTTAAAAATTAGAAAAATCACAATTTTGCAACCATGAGTGAAGTAATTGATTCAAGTATGACCCCCAGTGAAGACTGAAGCCAGTGCTGTGGTTCTCAGAGAGCGGCTCCTGTTCCCGCACTTTAAGCATCACCTGGACACTTCTAAAAATAGATAAATTTTTGGACCCTTTCCAGTAATCTGTTTTAACGAGCCCTCTAAGAATTCTGTTGTATACTTGAACCTTCAAACCACATTTGGAAAATGGGTGATGAGACTCTTTACTTGAAGTATCAACCTGTCATTCCCAGAATGCACTTATCAATCTTAGCACTCCTAAAAAGTAGAACCAGCCCTGGCCAGTTTGGCTCAACGGTTAGAGCGTCGGCCTGCGGTCCGGAGAGTCCCGGGTTTGGTTCCCGCTAAGGGCGCGTACCTCGGTTGCAGTTTGTCCCCGGCCCTGGTTGGTCGTGCGGGTGGCAGCCACTCAATGTGTCCCTTCACGTCGATGTTTCTCTCTCTCTCTCCCTTCCTCTCTTTCCCTCCCACTCTATCTGTACCAAAAAAAATGGAAAAATATCCTCGGGTGAGGATAAAAAAAAGTAGAACCAGATCTTCTGTTCCTCCTAGTAAATGCACCTGTGACATGCTCTTGCCACCCTCCAAAAAAAATTACACCTGAATCTATTCTAGTCTTTATACTTGAATTCCAATTTATAGGAAGTACAGGAGATAGAAGAATAAGTAAAACAATATTATGAGGAAGCAAAGAACAGAATGTAGTACGGCCAATCCAGTTTCTTCCACAAATCAGTGGCATGAGAAAGGGGGATAGGTGAGAAGAACTATTCCGGAATGAAAGAACTCCAAAGACAAAGTAAGTGATTGCAAGATGCACATCTTGTGTGGACCCTCTTTCAAATAGCCAACTAGGGAAATTTGAATTCAGACTGTGTGTTAAATGATATTGAGAAATTGTTGATGTTGTTGGATGTGATAATGGTATCGTGGTTATGTAAGAAAATGTTGGGTGTTGTTTTTTTTTTAAGATATAAACAAAAGTAGGATAAAACAAAACTATGTCAAGATTTTCTTTAGGTTACTACAGCAAAAAAAATGAATCAAAAGGAAAAAATGATCAGTGAAACAAGTATGGCAAAATGTTTTGCATTCTTGAATCTCAGAGATTTATTGTACTGTTTTCTCTACTTTCATGTATATTTGAGACTTTCATAATAAAAAGATAGAAAATTAAAAATGATCTACAAAAGTAATATATTTATTAGGATATACTTATTCCTGTTCTAGTCTTTATCACAACATATTATAGTTGCCTGTATATTTGTCTATACTTTATTTCTCAAACTATCAGTATTGAAAGATCAGTTTTTTAATTGTCTAATCTGTCACAGACCATGACTTTTATAATATACAATAAAACCAATTACCAGAAAAACAAAACGGGGGAAAGGACATATAAACTATAACCTTAAAAAGTTTTGTAATTAAAGTCAACAAACATAAAATTATATTTCACTTAACAATGAGTACAAATGCAAACAGAGGGAAAAAAAACAATTTTTTGAAAACTGTATCCATTCATCAAAAATACACACATAGGCAATTAATGTAGAGAACTGCTGTGACACAAGTGTCTTCTGTAACCATAATTAGTTAAATTTCTAAAGTGAGACACAAGTGTCCTCTTTGCACGTTGACTTGCCCTTGTTCATTAACTTGAGCTTGGATTGATAGCAGTGCCTTTCACCAAGGATGATGTCTACCTAAATCAATTTTATTGGCAGCCACAGGTTTTTGCCTCAGTTACTGGGATCACTGATTTCTCAGCAGACAAATAGTTTTAGAGGATGCCTGCATGCAGAAATCATAAAGGATGGGGAAGATAATAGATACGCTGTAAGACTCTCTGAGATTTTTGCTTAAGGGTTGAAAACACCACTGCTTTAAATACTTGGTCTCTTAGTCTCTGGAATGCAGATGTTGTCATTTTTCTCTCGCTGTGTGTTACATATTTATTGACGTGATGATTGTGGCTTTACATGATAATTTTAGATTCAGATGTACCGCGCCTTTGTTTTTCAGATAGTACCCTCCTTGCCAAGCTTCCAAGCCTTTTCCACCTTGGCTGTGGTAGTGCCAGTTTTTGACTGATTACTTCAAAAAAATATCACTTGCTGTAGAGTCTCGTGCTTCCCAGGTCTCATTTTGTAGGCAATAGTTTGGGTTATTTTTCCATATATATTAACCTGTACTTGTTCACATTGGATCTGTTTGCAAAAATTTCAAAATCTCTTCCACTAATGCACGTTGATTCAGCATTTTTTTCTTTTTTTTTTCTAATCCTCACCTGAGGACATTTTTCCATTTTTTGTTCAGATAGAGTGGGAGGGAGAGAGAGGAAAAGAGAGAGAGAGAGAGAAACATTGATGTGAAAGGGACACGTTAAGTGGCTGCCACCCGCACGACCAACCAGGGCAGGGTACAGACTGCAACCGAGGTACGTGCCCTTAGTGGGAACCGAACCCGGGTCTCTCTGGACCGCAGGCCGACGCTCTAACCCTCTAACCGCTGAGCCAAACTGGCCTGGGCTGATTCAGCATTTTCAACAAGAAACAATTTTGTCTCTCTGGGAAGCCAGTCATTTGGTTTATGAAATAACTGCCTCACTTAGTGATACAGTTTAAATACCATTTGGTATGACATCATAGGAAAGATATGACTAGCCAAAAGAGATTCCCTCATTAAGCTAAGTTGGCCCCCGGGTCCAACCCTTCGTTATGGATTTCCCAGCTCATCCAGTATAGAAGGAGCCTCAGGTTTACCTTAGGAATAGAAAGCATGTTGTCCACTTGCCAGTTTAAGTAGACATAGTTTGGACATTTTGACTGAAAAGTCTATCTATTTGTTCTTCAGTGACCCTTTTTCCCTTTCAGAATTATGGATGGCTGCTATGTGGGATCTGTAAAGGCAAAGGGAAGATGTGACGAGCTGATTGTCTCAGTTTGTGATAAAGCAAATACAGAAGAATATACAAAATGTTCATTTAAATTTAAAGCCTGTAATTGTAGAGTATAACACTCCTACTCCACATTTTATAATACTGTTTGAGGAAAGGTTCATGATAGCATCCATGATAAAACCTTTAGCAACTAAGTATTTAAGCCCTGTGCCTACGATGTTTTGTGCATACAGCTAAGCATTGTGGGGAGTACAGAGCAAAATGACTTGGTCCCATCCTGAGGAAACTTTAATGAAGCCGTCTTGTTTTCTGAAACACCGCGTGTTAGAATTGTGGCCATGTGTGTATCCAAACATGAACACACGTTGGGATATTTGTGATGAATATGCAGATAATTAAAGTATGCGGCAATGTATTATCAGTGACAAGTTCAGAGAAGAGAGATGCAAAGTGATTTGTTTCTATTTGAAGGGACTGTTTAGATCAAAGTGGCATTTGAGGGATTTGAAAGGATGGTTCAGATTTCAGCAGGAGTCTAGTAAAGAAGCAGCTTGATATAGTAAAAAATTAATTTCAACATTTCTAGTTCTGCATCAGCCATTCACTTACTAAATATACAAATTCAGCCAGATTACTTAATTTCTCTGATCTTCAGCTTCCTCAGATATAAAATAGGAATTAGAGTAATAGTTATCGAAGAAGGGTTTTAGGAAGACTAAGTGATACACTGTGATATGAACATGCTTTATTAACTGTAAAGGACTGTACAAATGTTAGTAAATTTTATAGTAAATATTGAGGATGACATAAGCCAAAAGCATGGAATTTGAAAACAGTAAGCCACATAGCCTAGAGCAGAAAGTGTGAAGGGGCTGTGGCTGTTGATTCACCGTACAGTTTCATACTTGAGGAAATAATTAAATAGAAAAGCCTCTCATGATTTATGTTGTCCTCTCTCCCTCAACAGATCATTTCACAGGCCTTTAAGATCTTCAGGTAAAACTTGTATGAGTTGCATATTTAGTTTTATTAAACTCATATAAACATATGCAGAATTAATTTTCAGGTAAACTGCTTTAATAGAGATTATAGCATTGCACAAAGACAGCTGATCTATCTTACAAAGTATATTTTTTAAGAGAACAATGTCTGTCATAAGAGCACTTGGTTTCAAGAACAAGTCTGCATATTCTTGGGTAGATTCGAATTGCTCCATTGAACAAGAGAACAGGGTGTGAATTATTTAAGCTACTTCCAGGGACCACCATATCATATTACAGGTGATTTGTATAATTACATAAAATGATTTTTTAAAAGAAAGATAACCTTGTTTGATGAGATGTCAAAGAATTGATTCATGTTTTTCATTTTACATAAATTTTATTTTTTAAATGTGGTTAGGAATATTCAAGATTCAGTAAATTTTTCAAGAAAAAAAAAGAGGGAGTGCCTGGGCATGAAAGGCATTTTGAGTTTGTACTGTGAATATTATGCCACTTGCTATTGTCTGGTCTTGGACTCTCTTTGTTTTCTGGACTCTAGTGAAATATGGTTGGAATTACTTTTCTCAAGGCAAGAAACTTGGAAAACGCATGTAATTTGAACACTAACCTTTAGTCATTATAGAAGTTTTGGGGGGGGGAACAAAACAAAACCCTGAATCCTAATAGTGGAGTCATTTTATTTTGGGGAATATTCTAAATTCCCTCTTCTTTTACAGACTATCTTGCTAATCACGGCCGGTTAAATGAGTCTGAAGCCAGGCGCAAATTCTGGCAAATCCTATCTGCTGTTGATTATTGTCATGGTCGGAAGATTGTGCACCGCGACCTCAAAGCTGAAAATCTCCTTCTGGATAACAACATGAATATCAAAATAGCAGGTAACTGGACACAGCTGGCTTTAGCATGATCGACCTTGAGCCCTTGTGCTGGGTGTTCGCAGAAACAACTGCAGGCAGAGATTTGGAACATTTCTACTGATGACAGCATGCTTTCTCGAAAAACAAATGTATTTTATTCACTTCTTTAGATCTCTGTGCAATGAAAAGTAAGGCAAATCAGTTCACTATTAATGTACACAGTGGCAGCGCTACACCTGGCGTCTCATGTGTATCCCTGGTCCGTTGCGGGGCTCTGCCGGAGCAGAGGGCCGGACAGTCTAGAGCAGAGTATGGGTTGCTGGCACTGTGCGCTGCTCCTGATTTTGGCTCGTGGCTGCAGTGAGGTTACAGACAGGAAGAAGGAAAAGAAGGAATGTAGATTGATACAGGAGGAGCAGGTAGGCAATGACCAGAATATGAAGTGTCTTGAGTGCCATGAAAAAGACTTTTCGAGTTTATTCTGTAGGACATAGGGAGTCTAACCTATTGAAAATGTTAGGGTTGGGATAGGGGTGAAATGAGGTTGGAATGACAGGTTTGCATGCTAGAAAGATGTCTGTCTCTAGCAGCAGTGTACAGACAGCTGGGACATGTGGATAAGACTGAAGATAGGAAGCTTAGTAAGGACTCTAATGCAGTAGTCCAGTCAAGAAAATGTGGGTCCATCCTGGCCCAGCCAGAGTGGCTCAGTGTCTTGAGTGTCGTCCCATGCACTGAGAGGTCCTGGTTCAATTCCTGGTCAGGGCACATGCCCAGGTTGCGTATTCGATCCCCAGTAGGGGGCATGCGGGAGGTGACCGATAGAAACATCGATGTGAGAGAGAAATATCAATCTCTCCCTTCCTCTCTCTATAAAAAAAATCAATAAAATATATTTTTTAAAAAAAGAAAGAAAGAAAATGTGTGTCTGAACTAGAGCTGCAGCAGGAGAGGTGGTTGTTGTGGGACAGACGGGAGATTCATTTTGGGTAGATGGTAAGGGGCGTGAAGCAAAAGTTAGCAGAATTGCAAGTGCTAGTGTTTAGGATTATGAAAGAGGAATAGAGAAGCTTGTGGATGAGATTGGTTGGCTAGCTAGGGTAGATATTTAACAGAAAGTTTAGGGAGAAAACAACTCCTTGGGGTATAAAATGTAAATTAAAAGCCTCTGGGGGGAAATCCTCTGATTTGTTTATTTCACTGGTTTATTTCTATGCCATTTCCTATTAGTTTTTGTCCTAAGCATTTTGAGGAAGGTAAATAATTCATTTTTACTTACTTTACTTTAACTTTTATTTACTTTTACTTTAATTTTAATAATTAATTTTAAATGTCAATGTTGCTTATGTTACAGGGAGGTAATGGATTTTCCATTCTGTAGTCTGTGGTTTTTTTTGTAATGGGATTGCCGGAATAAGACAAAGTGTTTAATAAGACAAGGTTAATTTGTTATATTCTCATTATATATATATATATATATTAAGATTTGTATTGAGCTTTCATTTCTGTTTTGAAAATATAATCCACTATATTAGTGTTTCCATAGTTTCTTATGTATGTTCACTTTTCCCATTTGTGTGTTTTTCCCTATCTTCTGGCCCTTCCATTTATTTGGTCTCATTCATTTCACTCCTTCTCACCAACCTTCTGTAATGCACATCACCAAAATTTGTGTTTACTTCTCTTGAAAACATCTGCTGCCCTAAAATTGCCCTCTTCAGAGAAGACTCTTGTTTTTGGAAGTCCTTAACTCTGTAGAAAGAAGAGGGAAGCCCCTGCTTCACCTTTGCATGCATTTATCACCAAAACAAAAAAATTCACAGAACAATACCTCAGAGGAGTTTTGGGAGTGTTTTCAAGCAGAGAAAGGTTAGAGGTGTGAGTCATGTGCTGTAGGAATTACAAAGTGCTCTGTCACTAATTTCTAAAAAAAAAAAAATTTCCAAGTAGAACCCAAGAATCTTGGAAACAAAATACGCTCAGTTCTGCCAGGCTATAATATGTCTACTATGATATAAGTAAGTAAACTCAGTATTTCTAGTGTCATTGTGAGATACCTAGTTTTTTGTTTGTTTTTGCTGTTTTCATTTTTTTTTTTTTTTTTTTTTGAATATTTAAACTTCAAGGCCTTCTAAGTTTTATCCAGAAGGCGGGTACAAATCTGAGACCTAAAGCGTTCTCTCCGGTTAAGCCAGTAGAGCAGCTAACAGTTCTTGAGCCATCGCTATTTTCAGATACTCTGTTAGGTACTTTATCATTTTATCTTCACAGCAACCCTAAGAGCTGCATAGCTCTTGCCAGTTTTTAGATGAGAAAGATGAAATACAAAAAGATTAAATAACTTGATAAGGTGACTCAGATAATAAGCACCAGACCTGTAATTCAAACCTAGGTCTCTCTGACCACAGTGTGTTTCTTCCACTACACCATGTTGTTATTCCAAGTGGTATTGCCAGTTACCCATCAGGTGTTACTCACTAACTGAATTTTGAGTTCCATCATTCTGTGTTCATATATTTAGTGTCCTTGATTTTATGTCTCAAAAGTACACACACACACACACACACACACACTGTATCTAAGCACTCAAATATCTTCTTGCCCACATTTTTTTTGTCATCTTCACCACCATTTACCAATTTTAGTAAATGTTTATTAAGCATCTACTGTGCTCCTAAATCCTAGAGATGCAAATATTTCAAGACAAAATAGCAATGCAAAAAAGCTCAACTCTACTCTTACCTCAAGGAATTAATCCAAAACCAGACCTTCAAGTAACTCTAACATAAAAAGATAATTGTTGTAAAGGCAAGGAGAGACTGATTATGCCTGGAAGAAGTTAACTGATACACAATGGAGTACTATGCAGCTGTAGGAAAGACAATGGAGTACTATGCAGCTGTAGGAAAGAAAGATCTCTTATCCTTTGAGACGACATGGAGGGACCTGGAAAGTATCATCCTAAGCAAAACAAGCCAAACAGAGAAAGACAAGTATCATATGATCTCACTTATTTGTGGAATATAATGAACATAACAGTCTAAAGAATGGGGTAGACCCAGAGATGTGGAAGTGGGATACAGACTGACAATCCCCAAAAGAGGGGGAGGTGGGGGAGAGATAAACCACAGAACTTATATGCATGTATGCATTGACAATGGACATGGACAACAAAGCTGGGGACAGGGAGGGGGAGGGAATCAGTGGGGGTAAAAGGAGTAACATCTGTAACCAAAATAAATTGATTAATTAAAAAAAAGAAGACGACATCTGTGGTGGTATGGCAGGAGGTGGGATGAGGGGTGAGGGGTGCACAGTAGCTCCAAGCAGGTGGATCTGCACGTACCAAGGCAGACAGGCCAAAGAACTCCCAGCGTGCAGGGAAGCTGTAGAGCAGAGCTAATGGGACATAGGTGCCCGGGAGGGATGACAGGAAAAGAGCCTGCACAGGTGGGCAGAGCCAGATTACAAAGGAGTCCACATGCCGTCAAAGCTTAGACGTGCTCCAGTGCTGTGAAAGAATTTCTCCAGGATGTTTATTTTTATCCATAGATTTTTTTTTTTTTTTTAATCCTCACCCGAAGACATTTTTCCATTTTTTGTTCAGATAGAGCGGGAGGGAGAGAGAGGAAGAGAGAGAGAAACATCGATGTGAAGGGACACATCGAGTGGCTGCCACCCGCACGACCAACCAGGGCCGGGGACAAACTGCAACCGAGGTATGTGCCCTTAGCGGGAACCGAACCCGGGTCTCTCTGTACCGCAGGCCGACGCTCCAACCGCTGAGCCAAACCGGCTAGGGCTTATCCATAGATTTTATAAATTTTCTGTGACCCTGCTTTATTTTAAAAACCTCATCTTCTGGTTCTTCTTGAATTTTAAAGAAATCTAACACAAGTAGGAAAGATAGGGCTCCATGGAAAAATTGCAAGAACCCAGAATAAAATATCAAATCATTCCCTCAATCTCTGTTTAATTTTATTTAGGAAGATCTCTTTACTTGCTAAAAGGGCTGGATAATTGAACTGTTTTAGCCATCTTGTATGTTGAAATTGAAGAGAAGTACAAACCAAAACTAGGTTTAAACTGTTCATTTCTGTTTATAAGACAAAATGACATCATTCATGTTAATAAATACAGAAACATGATTTTGAAATCAGCATCTACTTTATGCTCCCCCAGTGGGCAAGGATGCCAGACACTGATGAGCCATGGACTCATTTAGATTTATTCTAAGGACATTTAGATTTAGTCTTTAACTTTCCTAATCTGAAATGTTTACAGTAACTACTTAGATAAGGATGAAAATGTATGAATTACCTGGAGGAAGTTTTCACAAATATCACAGTTTAAACAAGGCTTCACATAAAGAATGTAGGATTTGATATCAGATAGTACAGGTGCAAATTCTGACTATGTGACCTTGGGCTAATTATTTAACCTCACTGAGTCTAGGTTTCTGTATCTGTTAGGCAGAGATTACTGTGTTCCTCTGGAACATTGTAGGGATTAGTGATAACGTTAGAGACAGTGAGGGTGTGGTAGGTAAGAGTATGGGTTCCAGAGCCACGCTACCTGGGTTTGAATCCTGGCTCTGGCACTTACTAGCTAGCTGCATGACCTTGGACACATTACCTAACTTCTATATCCTCAGTTTCCTTATCTGAAAAGAGGGAATGATAGAAGTTCATATCTCATAGTAATTACAAGTTAATATTTGTAAAATACTTAAAACGGTGCCTGGTACATAGTGCTATTTAAGTATTTGTTAAGTAAATTATTACTGGCACCATGTAACTCTCAATTAAAGGTAGCCATTATTTGTATTCAGTGTGTAACTGATTCCATGTGAAAACAAATCCTGAAATGTTGATGGCCATAAAACCCCCACCCTCACCCCCATACTATTTTTTTTTTTAATTACCAAGTCCTTAAAACCTTATTAATACAAATCTCAGAAAAACAAGGAAAGTTTATCACTTATATTCTAAATTATCTCTGCTTGATGCGAATTAATTTTT